CTCCCCTCCCCTCCCCTCCCCTCCCCTCCCCTCCCCTCCCCTCCCCTCCCCTTTCCTCCCCCCCCCCCCCTCCTCCTCTCCGCTCCCCTCCGCTCCCTCGCTCCCTCGCCCCCCCGCCCCCCCCTCTCTCACACACTCTCACTCTCTCCTTCTCTCCCTCTCTCTCCTTCTCTCCTTCTCTCCCTCTCTCGCTCCCTCTCTCCCCGTCCCCGTCTCCAATCCCTTCACCACCCCTTCCTGCTTTCTCTTCCCATCAGGAGAATAGTTTGTTTAGTCCTTCCTAAACCTCCACCAACAACTACTGCTTCTGATCCTGCTGTTGTGAACTCTTTCCTCCTTCCTCGCGATCCATTCGGACGTGTAGACGTTATGAAAGCAAGAACAGTCGCTTCGATGCTGCTGCAGGGTCTTCTTCTCCTCTCACTTGCTGAGGGCTTGAAGGAATCTTTTCTCGTTGCGCCCGTAAAAGTAGATGAGAGATTACTGCGAATGATTGCTACAGCGCGAAGGGGAGGAGGAGAGGAGCCCTTGAGGCTACGAGGTGGAAAGAGGTCGTCGAAAGCGAATGAGACGCAAGCTCTTCCCCTTGACTTCATCCCTTCAAGTAGTTTCACTGGTGCGACCTCTCTTTAGTGCTATCATCAGTACATGAGCTGATTTGGCGTATCAGGATTGAAGCCAGGATATATCTTCAAACGAGACCGCAAGGGAGTTGGTTTCTACCTCGATCAACCGCATTCAAGCAAGGTCAAGCTCTTGATGCCTTGCACTTCTTGCTCTGCGTGCTATTCTCGAGTTGGATAGTTTTCACATGTGTTGATCATACTTGAAGTGATATGTGACTTGAACTGATATGTGACTTGAACTGATATGTGACTTGAACTGATGGCAGGGTGTCAAGGCCACACGACCTCGTCGTTCGCTTGTGAAGTCACAATCAGCAATCCCCACGACTCCGACAAGAACTCGACGACAGACTGGAGACAAGAGATCTGAGGTTGAAGAGACTCGTAAGCAAACCTTTGAGTTACACCTCCTTCCATCTCCGAGAGCGATGCGTTGAGTATGTATGACAGGTGCAGGAGAGGAGAGGTCAGCCGCAAACAAGGAAAGCTTCAGGACACGGCAAGAAGTAGAGGCACAGTCAATGACAAGGAAGAGCGACTTTGGGTACAACTGGAACATTCGCAATGAACCTCAGGACTCGGAGTTGGACGAGGTGACTGGAGGAGGAGTAAGAAGAAAACATTTGAGAAGAGATGTAGCTCTTTGGGAAGATTGAGTTGAAACCTCCTCCTCCTCCGATAGACAAAACCGAATACAGTCTTGAGGACGATCTCAAGGTGACCACGCTCCTCTGGCCTACCCAACTCCCTCTTTACTGTAACATGCAGGTACTTGACGATGCTGAGAGGCTTCTCCAAGACGCCTGCGACAGGTCTGATAACCTCTGAATGGATGTCAGATGACTTGGAATTTAAAAACTCAGAGGAGACATCGAAGAAGCCAAACGGCTGCTCAAGTGTGGAGTGGTAGTCAGAGGATGGAATTGCAGTGAAGCGTGTGCAAAAACGTTGATAGAAGCAGCGGCAGACGTGGGGAGCAGATGACGTGCTGTTTTATCATTTGAAATTGGCTGTCAGATCTGGGAAGAAGAAAGGAAAGAAGACGCTCTGTTCACCTCGTCTACCACAACAGATGAAGAGGTGACTTTGAAGTAAGATTCGCCAGAATGACAGGTTACAGGACCGAAAAGTGCTTACCCAAGCTGGTTTCGAGCCGTCAGATTCCTCGGAGGAAGGAAAAGAAGAATCGAGTGAGAGCATCATGATTCACGAGCAGGTGCCAGTCTTGCTCTCTTCATGGCCATCACAGCAGGAGACAGATCGTTGGTCCCATCATTGATCGAGTTCAAGGGCTGCACCGATCGAAGAAAGAAATCAAGGAAATCTTTGAGAGGCTTCGAGAGGACTTGCCAGACGTAAGCTGCCTCGTTCGTCGCTTTCGAACTCTTGTTATCGATGTCAAACCCTTCTTACTCTCCTTCTCTTAATGTTTCAGATCAAGTATTTCAAAGAAAGACCCAAGATTGCAACTTTTGTCCCTGGCAAGGAGGACGAGGTGAACATTTATCTAGTCAAGCTGCCTTTCTCAACCCCTCTTTCAGGAAGAGACCGATTCCGAACTAGAAGAGTAAGTCCCTCTTGTGGCCAGCCCACCGCTGCATCCCTCACGTGCCTGTAGGTTGAGATCTTTTCCTGGCTTGGAAGATTTCTTCAATCCTTTCGGAGCGTAATCTTTGTCTGGCTTTACGAGCTCTTCCCCTCTGACTTGCTGTCTGCCCCTAGTCGCATGCAGAAGATTGAGATTGCGGTTGAGCGATGAGATCGGAAATGTTTACAATCCTTTGTCATTTTATTGGCAGTTGCGGAGGAATGCGACAGACGAACTCAACTCTGAGGAGCAGGAGAAAGTGCTGTGGCTGCAATCGCCCATGCAGATGTTGCAGGTAGAAAGAGCGAAGTTGTGTCTAGTTTGAATATGAGCAGGAGTACATGTCGGAATCATCCGAAGAGTTTGGGGGAGAAATCCTGCAGATCAAGAAGACGAGCACCGAGATCACGCAGGTTCACAGTCGGTCTCAGCCTTGGCTGGTTGTAAGTTGGGGTTCAGGGTGAGCTGGACCCTTGGGACAAGGCTCTCAACTCTCGTCTGTCAGAGCACTTTGGAGCGAAGGTGACTATGCTGGTTGAATGGCATGATCGACTGAACGAGCATCAAGGAGTTCGATGTTGTGGACAACCTTGGCTTCGAGAGAGTTGGCAATGATGTAAGACTCGTGCTGAGGTTGCGAGCTGTTACATTGACTTTGTCCCGCTCAGCTTGGAGTTCGCAGCTCGGATCAATCTTACAATCAGGTCAATCTTGCAGTGGCAAGTTGAGCACTTCTCACTCATGCCTCAGATCCGACACAAGTTTCTTGCGGCAAAGCGAGGCTCATACAAGGGCAGAGGTGCTGTTCTTTGTTCCCCTCTCGCTCCCTCTCAACTTTGTTTCAAGGACGCAGACCTCACACAAGCCAAGGCGGGAGTTGACACTCTCAATCATTTTGAAAATGTCAAGTGTTCCCATCGTGTAATTTGTTCCCATAAATGTGATGTTCTGAATAATCCTTTTCATAAATCTCCGATTGTTTTCAGTCAACACGTGGTTTTGTTTCTTAGTGCTTGTGCATTGGGGTCGCTATGACAGCTCGCTGATCCTGCAGATGCAGATGTTTATGTTGAAACAATGAGCTAGAGAAACGGATTACAATGGGCACGCGATAGAACATAAAGAAGGAGCTACAAAGTAGATATGTACAACTTTCATAACACCACAGCAGATCAATCATCAATCACACAGGCATAACAATGGATCAATCTGTCAGCGTCTAGTCGTGGGGTGTTAAGGATCTTGACTAGATCATGCTGTTCGAAGTCATGGGAAGAGATTGCTGGAAACCTCCTCGCACTTGCTGCTCGACATCGGAGAGAGCGGAAGGCCCGTGTGGCACAACCATAGTCGCTCGGCCTGCAGGAACGAGAGGAACATGAGACTAAAAAGAGACGCGGCAAGACAGAAGGAGGGACGAGGCTAGGAGAGGAGCACCTGACTGCGCAAAGTCTTTCAGCACGTCCATGTACTGCGTCACCAGCATCATGTGCACGACCTCTGAGGGCTGTAGACCGCAACTGGAGGGCAGGTAAACTTACAATTGTCGCTTTCAAGCAGCAGCGCGCTTACGACTCTTGCATCGACTCGATGCTGCTCTTGAAGCCGTTGGTTATGGCATGCCGCATCATGGCTGTGCCCTTGCCCGACAGGTGCTTCGCTTCAGCCTCAGCCTCAGCTGCTCGCACCTGCAGGATCTTGTCTGCTTCCGCCTTCTCTATCGCCGCCTCGCGTTGCCGACGGGCTGCATTGATCTTGTTCATGGCGGCCATCACTGTAGCGTCCGGCTGCATGTTGGTGATCAAGGCCTGATGTACCTCGATGCCGTAGGGCTCCATGGAATGCGCCACCTGGGACTTGACGGCATCCGCCATGGATTCTTTGGATTCGAAAGATTCGTCGAGGGTCATAGTGGGGATTTGTGAGCGAATGCAATCATCTACATAGGCTGAGATCTGCATATGAGGATTGTGAAGCTTGAAATAGTAATCGTCACATTCTTGTGGAGTGACTGAGTACTGTATCGCACATGTGACCGTCACCGTCACGTTATCTTTGGTCTTGGTGTGGGTGTTTACATTGATCTGAGTCACCTGTCATACTTGTGAGAGCGATCAAACTTACTCTTTCATCTCCCACCTTGATGCTGACAAAGTCGACAGTCTGAAAGGGCCAGTACACAAAGCTGAAGCCTGGATTCAGAATCTCTGTGAACTTACCGCAAGTCTGAAGAATGCCGCGCTGGCTCTGATCCACACATGTACAACAAAGAAACGACATGCTGTCGACTGACAAAAAGGCATCCAGAATCAACTCATGACAAATATCCCCATCACTCCTGCTCTCCCCTCTCCCTCTCCTCCTTCCCACTCTTCCTCTCTCTCTCCCCTGCCTCTCTCCCTCTCTCCCTCTCTCCCTCTCCCTTACTTCCCTCTCTCCTTCCCTCTCTCTCTCCCTTGCATTCCCCCCTCTCTCCCTTCCCTATCCCCCTTCTCACTCTCTCGCTCTCTCTCTCCCCCTTCCCTCCCTCCCTCCCTCCCTCCCCCCGCTCTTCTTCTCTCTCTTCTTCTCTCTCTCCCTTCCCCCGCTCTTCTTCTCTCTCTTTGTCTCGCTCCTCTCCCTCCACCTGGACGTTGACGGGGTTTGGGACTAAGTCTTGCGGACGAGGACAAAGTCGTGGTATCGAGGGCCCAGGGAGGCGACTAGGGGACTATGCGATTTAAGCTTTGAGTTCACTTAGTAAATCAGTTCGGAGGGAGGAGGGCGGAAGCCATCGATTGACCAGCACTAGACCAGCACTAAGTAGTAGACTGCGCCTGTCACTCAGGCGGAGGCTGATCGTCGCGCTTGACGAGGAGATTATTTACAGCTTCAACCTAGCCATCGCAGCGTCATCCCTCCCTTACCACCTTCCGCCAGCTATGACAGCAGCGCGCGCGCAGACATTCACAATCATACCGCACCTTCTGTCTCTCTGTCTCCGCCAAATTTGGAGGCAATCTCATTGCTGTTTCAAGGAGTCTTGTCTGACGTAACTTTCAATGAAGCCCAAGATTTGTCTATCCTCAGCTTACCTGAATGTTATTTGCGTTCGTGAGGTCTTGAGGAAGACTGTTCAACCATCAACATCGATGAAGAAAAAAGTGTTGACAGACAACTACCGTAGCGCTAAATGCAGAAGATTTCTTTGAATTGGTCTGTTGGAAAACAATATCAGTGAGAGAATAATCTAAAATCAAATATCATTGAAGACATCTGCCAGATTACAACATATAACAAAGAGATCTCCAGGTCACTTACAAGAGCTTTTTAGGGAAATTAATGTGAAAGGTGATGATAAGATCTCCTCTTGTATTTCTCTCCTTGTCTAGAAGACCTTCGCCCTTAATGATCTGCAAGAGAATTCAACTTAATCCAACTTGACATGAACAGATTAGTCTGTAAGAGAGATACCTTGCTATAGCTTGGATCGATGACCTCTTCCACAGAAACTGGAGCAACCCTATTTCAGGACTTGCACAGATCCAGGAGCAGACAACAAACCATTGAGCTTTCTTCCATCCGGCATGTTTATGGGTATAACAAACCCTGTTAATGAATCACACAGAGACACTTCCTGCTTCATCTTTAGAGAGAATCTCTCTATCTCAAAGACCGGGTGAGGCTCGATCTATATCAACAGCGTTCATATCGACGAAAGAGGGAGAGGATTTAGGTTACCTGGACCGTAAATATCACGTCCCCTGTGAGGTCATCGGGTTCCTTGTCGTACTTGAGCTTCGTCCCTGAGATCCAGCTCGGCTCCGCTTGGATTCTGTACGTTCTGGTGTAATTCTCCACCTGAAGGAAGTTTGAGCTGAAAGGAATCAGGGGTTAGGAACAAAACCTGCCCTTCGGAGTTTATCCGCTGTTTTGGAACATCAATGCTCTTTGAGGCTGAGTTATAGATTTCTTCTAATGTGCAGGACAAGTCGATTTCTTTATTCGGACTGGGCTTGGGTTTGCGTTTATCCGCTTCCGAATCAAAGAGCGACTCAACTCCTTCAGAGACTGCAGCGAAAGGGTTGGAGGTTCCAAAGAACTGGTCGAAGATCCTCAGAGCTTCATTGATGTCAAAGCTTTCTATCAGGTCTGCCTTTGATGCTGAAAAATCCATATCCCTTCTGTCATAAAGTGCTCTCAACTTGCGATCACTGAGCACCCGATAAGCAAACCCAATAGCTAGGAACTCACTCTCAGTCCCCTTCTCCTTATCCGGATGGGTCTTAAGCGCAAGCTTCCTGTAAGTCCTCCTCACATCCTCTTCCGAGCATCCTCTGCTCAGCTCCAGCGCCGCATACACGTCCAGTCGTTCTAGCATTGCCGTTGCCTCCAACGGATGGGCGGGGAAATTAAAGATGTTTTGCCGGATTTTTTGCCCCTGGAAAATTTGTACCCCATCCCCGCACCGACCATGGGGGTCTGATGAGGGTAGGGTAGGCTGCAGGTAAGCTGTGAGGGTAGGGCTCTACTACCCTCCTTCACCCCGTAATCGAAGGCAAATATCTGGGGATAGGTACCGGTGTGGTGGCAAAGGCATCTGTTACTACAGGGCCAGTTGGAGGCAACGGCAGACATGGCGCGGAACTTACCGAAAGGGATCGAACCAGGACCATGGAAGCTCTGGAAGTGAAAAGAACACATAACAGTTGGCACTAGCAACAGAGATTCATTAGATGGAGAACAGGTGAAATGTGAAAGTATTTGCATGAAAAACTTACGATTAACGCAGATATTTTGATCAAGAAGTGGAGGACGCTGATTTCAGTAAGTTAGAGGGCATCAATATCTCGTCAGGGTTATTGCTGAGCACAAAGCACACAGCCAATCCGATCAAAGACGTTTTACATTGCAAGAAAGTTTTGACACCTCAAAGAAAGCCTTCGAAAAGCGTGCATTCGAGTAAGCCAGAGAGTGCAAAGTTGAAGCCAAAGAAAATTCATCAAGCTTTGCTGCCTGACGAATTGAAAAGTGATCAACCAAAGCATCAAGGTGAAGATGGGTCTATTTTCAATGGAGATACAAAACATGAAACTTCAAAAATCCTATCTGCTCATGCTCATGACCAAACAAATCTTCATGCTCATGGGCATGTTGACGATGGTAAAGAAATCGAACTGGAGAACAAAAACGAAGACCATGAACAGATGGGAGATGAAGAGAAGGCCAACGAACAGTCTGTTTTGTATTGCCTGCCTGACAACAAAAATCCATTAGTCGTTTTACAACGCTTACGGCAAAATCCTGACAGTACGGAGTTTGTGTATCTGAAGTCATTCCAAATCGATGAGATAACTCCGTTGAACCCTTATCATCTTGAAATAGTACCTCATAATCAGATTCCTAAAAGCGACTTCTTTACTCTGAGTTCCTTTGGTGTCACTCATTTTGTTAACGGCAAGCCTGAGTTTACTGAGTTGGAACAGTGGAAACGAGAGCATTTCCTATTCAATGCTATCCTTAAAATCCCCGTATTCAAAAGATATCGGATCTGGAAATCTTACAAGGTGTGGAGAGACTCAGTCCGATATGGGAAAATGAGAAGCAGCGCCAAAGCGTTGACGAAGAATTTGTTCTTTTTGAATCCAACCTTCAGAGAAGCTCTGCTCAGGATTCGCGACATGTGCATGGATTTGCAGAAGGTGAAGTTATACAGTTTTCAAAAAGACACTTTGTACACTATTGTTCACTTTTTTGAAGCACAACAAGCACAAAGAAATGTTGTATTGAATCATCTCGAAGAGTTTTGGTTGCAAGCCATCGATGTTGCGAAGAGTTCGTGCATTGCGACGCTTGACTCTCTAGAAGAAGGATTGTTTGGTGCTAATTCAGTCAAAACTCAAGGTCAACAACAAAATGAGCAAGAGAAAGGCGATAAGATTTCTCCCCGTGCGGAAAATTTCCGTTATACTGTGATGGCATCGAAACGAGTCGTCCAGAGGAGACTCTATTATTTTCTTAGGCTTTGTGACTACGTGATTTTCAACACTTTGCACACTATGGTGGTCGAATCTACCTCAGAACTGCTTGCCCAGATTGAGCCGAATGTCAAAGACCAATTAGAAGATAGTCAGAAAAAGCGCAAAGCTGTTTTCTTGACAGAGATATCATTGATTCTCGGAGACCTTACTTTCGTCCCAGGAGCTGCGGATTTTGAAAATGAACTAGATAGCATCGTGGGGGGATTCGTTGACACTGTTTCCGGATCCAATAGTGTGAGGCTTTTGAATAATGAGGATCTGGAACAATATACAGAGCTTTTCGACTCAGAAACAGAGACCAGTGAAAGCTCCACGGTTTCTGAGATTGTAACCAATGATGAAGAATATAGAAAATTACTTGCTCGCATCAAAGTGGCAGTTGCAAATGCATTTGATGCCTGTAATGATTACGTGAGTATTTTTGAACCATATCAGACAATGGTAGTCGAAAATGAGCAACTCGACGAAGAAGAATTGAGACAAAAAGCAGAAGAGGGTGAATTTGTTCTTCAAAACTTTAAGGAGAAATTTGATTTGTACCACAGCCAAGCTGATAATATTCGCAATTTGCCAGATGAAATGGATTGTGGAATTATGCAAGTCAATTCCAAAAAGTTGAAAACCCTTCTTTCTCCTTCGCCCGCCTCGTGTCTCGAAAAATTGGAAGACATACTTCCACAACTGACAGTTGCAAAGCAAAGAAGGCTGCTGGACGAAGTCAACATAGCCAACAACAATCTTTCAAGGAAACCAACCAATGTGGCCAGTTTCGTATCTGTGTTAGATTTTGTTTCGCAATGCAACGAACGAAAGGATGAGATCGACGCCGAGTTTAAAGAGCTTCAGGATCACTACAGCTTGATGGATGAAAACTCGGTGGAGGTGAATAGCATGGACAGGGCTGCGTTCCAGATGCTGGTGCCAGAATACAATCAAATGAAGAATATGTTGGATATCTTCGAGAGCACTCAAGACGATGAGATGGCCAGGTGGAGTACTCAGCTTGAAGAAGACATCAAATTATTTCACCATGAAATCGAGAAGCTGCGACAGATATCGCAGGACCCTCAGCTTCTTGAGGATGTAGAATTCATTGATCCTGTACTTCACGTCTGCGAAGAACTCAAGGAGCAAGCGAATGCGATTGAAAAGACGGCAAAGCAGAATCAGTCCTTTCAGACCATATTCGGGCAGCAAGTTGTTCGATACCCGGTGTTGGAGGAGGTAGTGGCGGATGATTCCTACCGCGTCGAAGCTCAACAAGCTCATAAAGCTTCAAATCACCTCAGGTTACCTTCCTACCATACGTTTGTTTCCGGGCTGCGAGATATCTCCTCCCATTTCTCGCTGCGCAAACAATCACCAAAACGACAAGAGGAAACGAGAAGAAGAAAGAAAGCAAGAAGGAGACAAGAAGGGTCAATACATAGTTCGGGAAGTTATGGAGAAACCATCGCCTTGTCGGCAATGCGAACCCTTCGACCTGAGGTTCATCAAACGACGTCAAATCATGATTGCCCGCACCTTGGGGATGATCGGTTCATGCGTCTCTGCACAGAGCAGACGTTCTCTTGGAAGCTTTACAGAAGCGCCGCCGGCTTCCTCACAAAAAGTGGCGAGGTTAAATCTGTTGTCGCCTTCTACTATGATCCAACTGCACGTAGTGTCATCGTGCGACAGATGTGGTCATAGAGAATCTCACCGTGTGGTGATTGGGTTGAATTTGAGAGTGCCAGTTCTGCAGGTACCGTTCTCATTGCGCACGTAGACGTTCATTCCCTTTAACAACTGCCAGACACTCACATTCAGATGTTTCTGCCGGATTGGTAAGGAACAGTCTACCTCTATGGAAGGCGGGGATTCGGAGCAAGAGCGGAGGTGCAACTACGTAAGAAACTTCAACATCGCAGTATTGTACAGGTTAGAGTAGAGAAGACCGGCCTGAGCCCGACATCTTCAAGCATCCAGCCTTCATCCTTCTTCTCGCAGGATAATGTGGTAGCCTTGGTACCCTTACGCGGGTTGGAATTGTCAGCTTCCGAGCCTTCCTGACTTTCTTTGCATCTGCTCCTCTTTCTGCAAAGTCCTTTCAACTCTTCGACTGGGATGGCGGAACCGAGTTTTCTAAAGCATGAGAGGGGAAGCTTGGAGGAAACTGGGGGATCTGGACTCGCAGAATTGATGTCTGCATTTCTTTGACTTAGCGCAACGATCAGTTTCGGACCCTGCTTGTCTTCATCATCGTCGACTACCTCCACAACCCGAACTTCACTCCAGCAGGCTGTGTGAACAGTCAATCGCTCATGAGAACTGTAAATGCACACGACGTACACGGGTGTAAAGCCTCGTCCATTCTCAAAGATCTCATGTCATTGCAAAGAAGCATATCGTCTTTCTGCGGCATATAGTCTCTGCATAGACCATTGCCAACCATCCTTATCTCCTCAGCACCCTGAGTACGGTTCAGCTTTAATCGGCTGGCCTGGCCCTTACCATGCTAATTTCTTCCAGGCTAGAGGATTGTCGGACTTGAAATGATCCATCATCGGTGCACGATAATACCTCGATGTCTTCCCATACTCCATCTCCACACCTTCCTTCCAGCCTGAGCTCCTCCTGACAAACAGCCAGAGATCAATTTGCTGCTCTCTCTCATTCAGTCCTTCCCCGCCCTCACCACACCCTCAACCCGGCCTTTCTCCCCTGCTTCCGTAAGAGCAGCCAAACCCTTGCTCACATCTCTTCCTCCCTCAATGGCTCCCTTCTTCCTTTACCTCACTTTCGCCGACCCTCTTCGCCATTCCGCGGACGCATACAAATCCAAGGATTTTTGTCCAGGCCCGCCCGGCCGCCCGGTCGATCCCACTGCATCACTTAAAAATCCTACTTAAAAAATCACTTATTAAAATCCTACTTTACTCCGATCGGACTGGCCGCAACTTTACTCAAAGTTAACTGGCCCAGTACGGTAACACTGACAGAGTCTCGCCGACGGAGTCTCAGTGAGTCGACGCTCGAGACAGAGTCTCGAGTACGATGACAGATCGGACGGCGGAGCCTGAGTCCGATCTTCCCGACTCGGCGAGTCCTGGCAGGACTTTTGGCCCGGGGGGCAGCAGTGTGTTGAGGCTACTGATCGGAGCTAGCCGGTTACTGATCGGACCCTGCGGCATCATCTTCCTATCTTGCCACTGGCCGCGCCCGCCACACGGTCCCCCAGTCCGATCCGATGATCATCGGATCAGCAGCCTCAACACAGTGACGGTGCATTAAGTCAACTGTGCTGTACGGTACGGTCAGGGGGGCAGCAGTCGGAAGGATGAGGGTTGTTCTCTCTGGCCGACATTTCTGTTCTGGACGAGTCGTGAATCCAGTAACCTCAACTGCCTCAGCCGGGCTCAGGAGGATGTGATAGAAACATGGGTCATTTTATACTAGATTTTTTCGTCTCCTCACGTATGTTTGTCGCCGATGATCGTATGGTATCATGCTAGTTGTTCCCTAGCACCTTTAGTCTATGCTTACTGTACCAGTCACTGTTGATTCTCATTCTACACCTTGCCGATTCTGAACGCCAACAAGGAACTTTGAAAGTTATTTTGTGGCAATCTTTATCATCAAGAATCGTCACATTCGCGCAGCAATTAATGCAGGTCACGAATCTATGTACAAAGACACTTGCAGGTTGGAAGCGTCCTACACGTGAGCTCACTTACGAGCTATGAAATTAATTCCCAGGCAGGTAGAGGAAGCTTGGTATTCGCACATATCCTGTTGTGAATCGAATTCAGCAGTGCTCCTCGAAAAGAAATCAATCAGCCCTACTGAGCTTACCTTTGGAAATAAGTCTTCCCATCCAACACATTCCTCTGTGCACTGCAATGGCTTCTTTCCGTAGCTTGTCGGAGCCGCCTCTTGCTTGGCCAATGTCTCGCTCGCTGCAGATGAATTGGCGAAGGGGAGTAACACGTTGATCTTGTAGTGTTGAGCACAGACCTGCAATAGGCTTTACTCTGGTTGCATGAGATTCCATCAGGCAGAATTACCCTACAGCTTCGCATGGAGCATCGGAGGGGGTGAGAGATGGTGCGAGCAAATGCCGAGAGCATCATGATGTTGTGTGCGTATGTGGTGAGAGGCAAAGAAGGGGAGCGAGTGGTAGGATGAGAGGGAGGCGACAGTAAAGTTGATGCCGAAGGGATTGAAACCAGTATTGTTGTGGTCAGCGCTGGCGGAGGTTGGTCAGCAGGAGGAAAAGCGCGGGAGAAGATGCGATTTCGATCTGCTGCGGACCCGTGCAACTTCCAGCAACCCTACCCCGCACATACCACACAAACTCAGGGGGTCACAGGGGGTCATGCTTTTCCAGGCGCAAGGGAACCAGGAGGGGTACTCGAGGCTGTGGTAAACAAGGTTGCGCCTGGAAACAAGGCGGCCGAGAACCCCCGACGGGCATGTTTCCCCGGCGTTACAGAGGTGACCCCTGCCTCTCTCCTCTACTGTCCGGTGGAAGGGAGGGGCTCAAGCGACACCTCCGAGTCGCACTCTGTCACAAGTTTCTCTGGGGTGTCGCCATTGCCGCGGGCCGGCGCGTTTTTTTTCCTTTGGGATTGTCAACCCTTCACGCCGTCACGAAGTCAACTTTCCCGGAAGTTCATTTGTACCTGGGCGCGGCCGGGTGCGGCCGGGCGCCCGGCGGCCGCGACCGTACGGTCTTCAAATCATTCGCGCCGCGGTCACCGGGTAGGGAACCATGATCAGGCGGCTTCAAGTTAACTGACGTTAAAAAAAAGTTAACTCCAAGAAAAGATCAGTATTACCGTACGAGGACAATCAGGACTCCGGGAGAGGCGAGCCTCGGAGCCTCGGAGCGGCAAGTTGATCGGACCCGGCCACTCCGAGTGGCAGGTGACCAATGATCGGATTATGCATCACGCCGCGGGGGCCGGGTCGCTGCCACCCGGGCCCTAGTCCGCCGCCCGGCCGTTGAGTTGAAGGGCCGCCGGGAATAAGACGCCGGGCGCCGGGCCGGAATGCACACCCGCCCCGCGGTCGGATTGCATGATGGCGTTGATCGGTCATGTAAGATCCGACCGGATCTGTTTCACGCCGGGCGGTGGTCAGAGTCAGTACGGTCAGCGAGTCCGACGGTCCTGGCAGCCTCAGCCCCGCGGTGGCCGCCCTCAGGGCAGCCTGTGGGGCCCGGCCCGGCCCGGGCCGGGCCGCGCCGGGCGGCGGCGGGCCACTGCATAATAGAACGGTCTCTCCTTCTGCACCACCCTTCAATCGTCTTGGCTTTTGACCCCTGGTGTCCTTGTGGTAAAAATAGGGAAGCAAGAATGGCGCGGTCGCTTGCTCATGAGGAGAGAGCGTGCTCGCTTGCTCGCGTCATCCTCCTCCCTTGCGCGTTTTCTCTTTCTTCAAAGATTGTCTGTCGTTTGTGCTCACCTGGGTGATCATGCTGCGATCGCATGTCACTATGCTTCCTCACTTCATCTTCTAAATGCGATATTTAATCCATTCACTCAACCACCCATCCTTGCACTCGTCGCTTTCCTTTCTTGTTACATGATGAAATCAATCTATTCGATGTTACTCAACACTGAAATCTTTTTTCAGAAGTTGTGAGAGCTTTTAAGTGGTCCGGATATTCCCTACAACATGGCAGTTTCCGACTAGATTCATGTTGTACAGCTGAGACTAGATTCATGTTGCACAGCTGAGTTACAAATCAGCTGAGTGGTGTGCGGCAAACAAAAGCGTCTTGAGATCAAATCAGTCGTCGTTCTCTGCTGAGTTCTAATTTCCCCGTAAAATGGATTTTCTCAAACTATTCCAGATGAGAAGAGACAGTGCTCCCGAGATCGCTCAGCAGCCATCGCCACGTAGTATCAGTTGCGAAATCACACCCGAGAATGACAACAAGAGCGACGGCGATGTAGATGGCTACAATGATGCTCGAAGAGCATCACGAGTCGATGCTGACTCAGCAACCGTTTTTCCTTTGAAGAAAGTATCTTCAGTGAAAGAGCCTGCACTTCCCAGCAATATCCCAGAAGATACAACCCTCACATCTAAGATCGCACGACAGGCATTACATTCAATACAGAATGTTGTGACTGCGTGGAAAGTGAAAATGCCAGAACAGCCGGAAGAGTGGGTGACGGACTCGACATCTTCCTCGTTGATTCAAGGGCAGGCGAGTGCCTCTTTAGGGTTAGTCGTTCATTCTTTTGTGACACTGCATCTTGGCAGATCTGGAAACGTGGTGGCCATGAGGGAGATGAGTATAAGTCAAGATGGGTCGCAGTGACACGAGAGTTTGTTAGTTACTCAGTCTCGAAAGACACTCGTGAAATCGACAGGATCAACTTCACCGACATCATCGGCTTGGTTGTCTGCAAAACTAGAGCTGAAGTAACTATTTTGAATTTGTTGGTTGTTATGATTCTGATTCACCACCCAGAGTTCCATTGGTTTAGAAAGTTCCAATGTTGTGACATGGAGAGAAGAAGGAGCTTTTGAGCATGAGATAGATCTAGCAAAGCAAGTTGAGCTTGGAGCAGCTGATTTTGGCATTTGTACCGCTTTTGGCACGTATCATGGTGGAAGGATCTACCTGTTCCGAACGGACTGCAGGGACACCATGGAGCGATGGTCCGAGACGATTACAAGAGTTATGACTTCTTACGTTGGATATCCTGTTGTCCACATGAATCGTCTTGATACATTCAGGCGCAAGGTCCGCTGGTTCTATGTGGGAGATCGCTGTCAAGTCTTTGTTGCGGGGATCATCATGTGTAACTTTCTGTTGAACATTTTTGAAGCGCACTTCAATGCTGCACCAGACACTCAGTTAGCTAATGTTTTCGATCAGATCGATCTTCTTTTCACCATATTTTTCACGGTGGAGCTTGTCATCAATATATTTGCCACGTGGTTTGTAGAATTTGTTTCCGATGGATGGAATTGGTTCGACTTCGGAGTCGTGCTCGTGTCGTTGCTGAGTTTGGTCCTTACTAATCTTCCGGGAGCTAATATTCTTCGGCTTATGCGATGTTTTCGAGTATTTCGGTTGTTCAAAAGGATTCCTTCACTCCGCCAGATCATGATAGCGCTGACTGCATCAATTCCTCCCATGATCAATGCATTTGCGCTGGTGTGTTTGGTGACAGCAATCTATGCTATCATGTCTGTGACCTTCTTCAGCTCCTACGCACCCGAAGAGTTTGGAGACTTTTTTACTGGCATGTTCACCATGTTCCAAGTGATGACAGGCGACAATTGGTCTGACATAGCCAGAGGTCTTTTCACACTGACTGGTCAGAATACGGGGGTTGCCATCTTCTTTGTTAGCTTTCATTTAATAGTTGCTCTGGTACTCCTGAACGTGGTGATTGCTGTCCTACTCGATGAGTTCTCGAAGGCTGCCGACCAACGCAACTCTGAAGCAGAAATCTCTAAGAGTCTGGCTTCAGAGGAGATAGAAGCTTGCCCCTTCGAGAAGATCTCAAGAGAACTTTCAAAGTACAAGTAAGTTTCTGACGTTGGTGAGTAGTTTTAGCCTTATGTTTTATGTTTTCCTCAGGAATTTGGATGATCTGGAGACCAAAATCAACAATCTTTATGACAAGATTCTTTACACCACCATCAAAAAGAAGTACGATCTGTTCACACAAGAAGTTGCCCGTGAAGACAGTGAAATCTTGAGGGTCTATTTCAATCGTTGGAAGACAGGAGAAATTCCAAATGTGGGGGATGGGTGCATGGGATTTGCAGAATTTAGGATGGGGCTAAAGAACATCGGCTTTATTCCTCCTATTCTAGTGACGCGTCAGATTTGGGACGACTACATCATGCGGCCACGTCTTTGCGATGAAGGCGGTATCCTCAATCGCCAAGGCTTCATGCTTTTGATGAAGCAAGCGCTCAAACGGCACCAGCTGAGACAGCTGAACGCCTGCATGGAAGATGAGAACGAAGACTGGAACAGAAACAATATCAGAAGCTTATTCCTGGGCATTAAGGGAATGCTTCTGGAGGATGAGGAACATGCGAGGTTGGAAAAGGTTCCCGTCGGGCCAATGGATGATGAGAACTCAATTGCTTCTACGCGAGATGGAAAAGTTGATGCGAGCATGGAGTACGACCCGCAAGTGGATCAACTTTTGAAGCGGCTGATCGCTGACATGCATAAGATGCATGCTCGCTTTGATGCTGTTGAGATGGACTTGCACGCCATCCGAAGTGCTCGCACTAGGTTCAAGAAAGGATCTCCTCGAAATGCTGTGAATGGAGAAAAGAAGAGGGAAAAGGAGGATGCGAAGAAGACTGAAATATCTGAGCTGAATGCCAATCACATGGAAGATGGGCACTATATTGCCAAAGGACGTAGAGCTCAAGAGATGGATCAATCAACGGTCCTGCGGGCCAAGAATGAGTCGAATGCCAAAGTTTCAGGTGATGACTTGGACATGTTTCGAGCGCTGCTGAGCTTTGGAACACAGATTCTTTCATCGAGAAGCAGGCAGCGACGAGGAGGGCAATGCAAACCCCTGCATCGCAGGAGGCAAAAGGTGCTGACAACCTCAATAATCTCTCCCAGCGAGGTGGTCACCTCACGCATCGAGGAGCAGCTCCGGATCGGGTAATTGACTTGTCTCCTCACAAGTCCCTTGACCCAGATGGTAGATGTGGTCTCTTGGCGCATTTGCGCAGAACTTCACCGACAAGACTCTCTCTCCAGTTCAGGTTCGTTGAGCACGTAACTGAAATCTTGCCATGTGACTTCCTGTCAGGTTCCTGATTTTTCAAACCCATCGAAGTTGGTGAACCAGTCCAAAGACGCGGCCAACAAAATGGTGATGCAATCAAAGATGTTTTCCTCCTTCATACTCATTGCAGATGGATGGCTTGATGGGAGGATTGGCAACAATCGGATCAAACATTCCGTTTGTTCATGGTTGTTGCACACCATCCGTGTTGGTTGAATCTTACTTGCCATAGGTAACGGAAGCCAAGCCGGTCACGAATGAAGGCTACTTGAAGCTGTTTTCAATCAACATTTCTACCAAGCATGTTACACTAACCGAGGATGCATTTGAGATTGTTGAACATGAGATTTCTGCCTTCTTTCTTAGCAGATGGCTTCACTCAGCTCTTCTTTTGAGTGCTTGGCTCAGGATGTTCAATCTGCATTGTGACCTGCAGCTCTGTGAGTGGAATGTGAAATGAAACATGCACATACAGGCCCATCATTGCAGATTTCAACTTCCATTTTAGCTCCAAATTTTCCATCTTTTACCTTGGTACCTGGTTAGCAATGGTAGACCCAGGTTTACAATACCAAGTTTGGGTCTCCAATATCCCTCTTCACTTGATCAACAAACTCCTACGCATGTCTCAAACGTTGCACTCCCTCCCGAACGCTCTTACCTGATACATCTCTCGAGCAGCTTCTGTCGACATGCTCTTTGAAAAATCCAAGTTCGAACCTTTGAGCCTTGCAGGCTGTCAGTACAATGTCTGTCAGAGGATCGCATGAAAACAAGCCTGAAATGTAGAGTAAATTGACTGACGAGTAAGATTTCCCCTTGAATCTGCAACAATGCATCAATCGATTCAGAAACCAATAGCGCTCGTCTCAACATTCTCACCTCTTGCACATTTCTCTTCCACATTTTTCCATCTTCTCCTTCGAAAAACCTCACTGTCAACCACATGTGAACATTGCATTTAGCAAAATCTGCTTCAGATTGACCAGATAACAATTTCTTTGACATCCATTCAAGACTTTCGCGCTTGTCCTCAGTCGAGAGTCCCACCAAGACACACAGACCTCTGTGAATGCTGATACATCAGGTCAGTTGAAAGTGTTTGATACCAGACCTTACTTACCTTGACACTGTCTCGCCGTCTACCTTGACCGATGCCGACGTCACTCGCTGAATCACACACCGCATGCCTCCTCTCAGTCGGAGAGGCTGATTTCTGTATTCCCCAGAACACAAGCGCGATGTCAACAAGAGTTGTAAACCATATGCAAGCAGCAGTCCGATTCGTTTGAGCCGAAGAAACATTGCAAGTCAACGGTTCAGAGAGGACAAGATTCCATGAGCTAATCCTTGCTTCGACACCCACTCCTCCCAGGCTTCCTCTCTTCCCACTCTTCCTCTTCCCACAATTTCCCAGCGATCTTCGTTCAAGTTCTTGCTCACTTCCTATCGCCACTGGTCAGCTCTAGGCGTCCTGTCATGGTTCAATCATCCTCTTCCGCTAATCGCTCACAAGAATCCTGCATTGCATTCAGCCTTTGTACCCCTCCATTCCATTTCATTTACACCGGTACCCAAGATGTTTCTCCTCCCCTTGAGAATGGCAGAAAGGCGCGAAGACCCTGAGACGTTGTTCGAGGTGCAGAGGATGCTGGGAGAAGGAGCAGCAGGGATGGTGAGTTGTAGAGAGGCTGTCGAAATTGAGATGCTTGAGGTTGTGGTCGTCTAACGCATAGCCTTGCTTCAGGTTTACTATGCAGAACGTATTGCTTCACGGGAGCCTGTTGCGATCAAAGTCGTTGTTGGAACTGATGATGCCAAGAAGGAGCTGAGAATTCTTGAAACTATCAGCCATCCGAATGTTGTTTCCTACTACGGCACATGGGAGAAAGACTCTCAGCTGTGGATCGCGTTAGAGTTTTGTCATGGTGGTGCCGTCTCTGACGTAACTCAAGCGAAAGCTCGTCAATCCCCGCTGACTCGCGTCGCAGCTGATGGAGAAGCTGGGAAGAGGGCTGGGCTTGCAAGAGCTTCGTTGCATCACCTGCTGCTCATTAATGGGATTGAGCTATCTACACGGAGAGCAATTGATACACAGGTGTATTTCTTGCATGTGAGAGCGATTTTGACATGAGTTCAGAGACATCAAGGCCAGTAACATCTTGTTGTCTTCATCGGGAGTGAGTAAACGACAACATTTTTCATGCTTTCTGCTGTTGCATGCTTAGTGCTTTTCAGGCCAAGCTTGCAGACTTCGGAGTATCAGCAAGGTTGCAGGTACCAAATGATCGCCGTTGCACTTTTGTTGGAACACCGTGAGCATTCAGTTGAGGTGAGCTGTTTGCTGAGTCCTGAGTAGGTACTGGATGTCTCCAGAAGTCTGCTCGAGAGGAGAGTACGACTACAAGGCTGACATCTGGTCACTCGGAATCACCGTCATCGAGATGGTCCTCTCTTTGCCACCATTGGCGCATCTGCATCCCATCGAAGCAATCGAATACATCCGTAAAAACGACCCACCCGTGCTGCAATCAATATTGCAGACGTCTGGGATCAGTGATATCTGGCCACAATCTTTGCACGAATTCGTCCAATGGTGAATCTTCTGTTGCTGTAGTAGACGTTGCTGAAAAACATTCCATTCTCGATGCAGCTGCCTTGTGAAAGATTTTGAATCGAGACCGGATGCCCTGCAGCTCTCTCAGTCTGTTTCCTTCTAACGTCAGCAGAGCTTTGATAGTGTCATGTTATTCCAGGCAATCATTTATCTTGGAAGCTCAAAGATGTGAAGAGAATGACTTGCAAGCCGTCAACGAAGTGTTGCGTCACCTTCGAGATGTTGAAACTGACACTTCTCGGATCAAGTCGGTCCCTCCATATGCTTCCATGTGCGGTTTGCCTTTGTTGGAAACCATGCTATTCACATTTGTGTTGAAGCTATTCCATACAAGCTGAAACCTCGGTAAAAGAAAGCCCTGAGATGAACTGCAAGAACAACCTCCCAGTCAATGCTCATGCCGTTGGTGAGAGAGGGAAACATAGCGTCAGTGGAAGGTCAAGCCTGCTGATGAACGAAGATGAAGCAGAGACTGTGCTGCCGTAAGATGATTTGGGTTGAACTCTTTGCAGGAATGAATTTAAGTGCTGCAGATGGATCGATCTCATCAGTGTTCCACCAGAGCCTTTCCAAGGAGAAGGATTTACCAAAAGTTGTCGACTTCAGCCAAGCAGCAGTGAACCTCAGGTCTGTTTAGGTATAGGGCGGAGCATAGTACATAATATGAAGTTGATCGTCAAATTCAAGAAGCGAGGAACTCGTTTGGTTGGTTCTTACCCCTTCGTGTCCTGTTTTCCTGTATTTGACTATTGATCACTTAGGTACAAAGCAACGACGACATGAAGAATATCAGTCAACTTTCAATGATATGTACAGCCATACATTCAGACCTTTAGGGGCAGAGCTCTAGAAACTGTTGAACTTTGGTTCGAGTCTTCTCCACACCTGACCCTAACAATGTTTCAGCCTCATTCATGCCAGTTTCTAGTCTGTATTTTTCAAGTTAAAAAGCAACACAAGGTTACACATCCCGAGTACAAGCACATGAGTCGGCATCGTGAAGAACAGGACGAATGTCAGAGCAGGGATTCAGAGTTATCACCCGGGACTGCTTCATTTGTAGTGATGTGTGGTGATATCAAACGAAATTAGGCAACAGGTAGATGGCCCGGGTAGACTGAGTGAAAGCTGATGCCATTCGGAGACTCGGCCCGGCGGAGCCTGAGGCTGCCGATGGGTAGACTGTTGTGAGGGCTGAGTCACATATGGGCAATTAATGTCATTATCAACACTTTTTGGAAACTCTCATGTTTTGGGTAAATTCAAGTTTACAACTACTTTAAAGACATGAGTACCTGGTTTGTACCAATCATTTTTATTTTTTTACAAGATCTGTCTTACTGTACCGGTCATATATAGGGCAAAACTGTGAACATGCGTAGGGGTCATGATATTTACAACTGTAACCAGTATAAGTGGTAAATGTTTTGTAAATCATTATACAAATATATTGAAATCTATATTTAGTACTGCTCCCGATACTGAGGAGGACTCCGACTCCCTCCGACTCCCTCCGACGCCTTCTCGTCAGGCCTCGGACTCCCACCTACTCCCGGACTCGAGTCCGACATCCCACCAGTCACTGTGAGCCTCCGACTGAGCGGCCCGAACGGTGACTGAGCTTAGGGTTTAGGGTTTAGGGTTTAGGGGGCCTTGTCAGAGGCACGGGGCCTTGTCGCTTGGTGACAAGGCCCCGGCCCCGCCGACCTCGTCGAGAGAGTGAAGAACTTCACCAAGCGTAGTATCCGAATAGTCGGACAGCTCATGCTTGCAGAGCTGAGGGGGGATGCACTCCCGACGCTATCGCTGAAGCCATCCGCTCGACATGTCGGCAGGCGAGACGAGACCTGTTTGAAGACCGGCTCGGAGCGCATGGAGCCCAGAGTCGAAAGCATGGTTCATGCAACAGATGGAGGAGGCCAAGAAGCAGAATGTCGAGACATACATTGGCACCGAAGACACCGAGGGGACCTCCTTCATCTCCATGACTCTAAATGAAGCAGTGATGGAGCTGGGACTCGTAGTAGACTCAGTCGATAGAGACGACAAGGCTATCATGTGGAAAGCACCTTACAGAAGGAGGAAGTCGACATGGAGGCTGAGGAGGGCGAGGGCGTGGAGGAGGGTTTAGGGTTTAGGGTTTAGGACCGGGGAGGCCGCCCCTTCCCGAGGCAGGCCGCCCCTTCCCGAGGCAGGCCGCCCCTTCCCGAGGCATGCACATCCGCGGCGCGTAGGGAGAGCGCAAGGGGACCGGAGGAAGCTGCGAGCAAGTTCTTGGTATAGTTCAAACAGCTTCTAAGCATGGTACTACAGTATGATGAGAGCGTTCGCAACCTGCTGTATCGGAGATCATGCCAATACACGCAGGGCGAGCGCTCTGGAGGCCACGTCGAGGAGGCCGCCGACCTCGTCGAGAGGGTGAAGAGCTTCGCGAAGCGGTATCCTGGTAGTAGGACAGCTCAGGCTTGCAGAGCTGAGGGGGGATGCACTCCCGACGCTATCGCTGAAGCCATCCGCTCGACATGTCGGCAGGCGAGACGCGACCTGTTTGAAGACTCTCTGAGTGAATGGAGCTCAGAGTCGAGAGCATGGTTTATTCAACAGATGGAGGAGGCCAAGAAGCAGAATGTCGAGACATACATCGGCACCGAAGGCACCGAGGGGACCTCCTTCATCTCCATGACTCTCCTAGGGATTTCCTCGATGTATGTTCGACAAGAAGAAAAGTTGAAAACGAAGCTTATGGAGCTAGGTCTCATGGTAGACTCAGTCGATGGAGTCGACAAGGCCATCATGTGGAAAGCACCTTACAGACCTGAGATAGCACGAGCAGACGACATCTCAGTCACCGTCTCCTTCCTTCGGAATGAAGCAGCCATGGAGCTATGGGAAGGCAGGAAAGAATACTGCATAGAAGGGAGAGACCGGTCGTTCAAGCTTCGAGCCAAGCGAGGACCTTGGGGCAAGGGAGGGAGCCTTGCCGAGCTATCGCAGCTCTTAGCTCTCGGAGGAATGTCGACGGCTGAGATCGCTCAGATTTATCGATTTCAGCTGCTCTCGCAATCTCTTGCAGCCGCAGAGGTACAACCACTTGCAGGCATGCTCTTGCAGGGTCCTGGGCAGAGAGGTCGCAAGGGGCCGAGCCCGAAGACGTATGTCGCTGTTGGGGCAAGTACGGGCACTCTCCAGCAAAAAGAGCTAGAGTGGGTGCTCAGCTCGCCTTCGACGGCAAGCTGCGAGCAGACCTTGGCCTCGTTCAGAGAGAGCGAGGCGATGGAGGGGGTGCATCTCACTCTCATCAGCGACGACGGCCCAAGCTCAGAGAGACGTTTGCAGTCGAGCTCACAGCCGACACCTTCGTGCCGAGGGGAAAGATCGCTAAGCAGAGGAAGGTACTTCGCGACAGGGACCAAGCTAGGCACAGCAGCTTTAGAGTACAGATCAAGTCGAGGTCAAGCATGAGCACAGGCCGCTTCTCGAGGAAGGAGATGGAAGCGCTGTGCGGAGGAGGTAACACATCGATCACGAGAGTCAAGCGAGCCATGTTGGAGTTAGCAAGAAGAATGAACCTCAAGCTGGTCAGCGTCGAGGCCGAGGAGGATCGTGACACGCTCAGCTGGGATGGGAGCCTGATAGCTCTCTCCCTGGCGACCAAGGCAGAGGCTCGACGCTTGATGGAAGACATGCCCTTCTACTTGGAAGGGATCCTGGAAGTCAAGCTGGAAGCTATGGGTTTTAAGCTCAACCCTCAGCATGAGGAGGAGAGGAGCCCGAGCAGCGAGGAGCAAGCCCAAGAGCCCCAAGGGCAGCAGCAAGGCGCTGGATGGCTGGAGCTCAGCGACATCGACAGGATTACTATGGAAGCAGCGTCGCCGTCAGGGCCAGTCGATCAACAGGTCTTGCTCGACCTCTCGACGATGCTCTTGGAGACATCAGAGGAGGAGCTGCTAGCTGGCAAGCCGATCTCGCTGGAGCTAGACAAGAGTGTTGGCAAGCTGCATGACACCTTCTGCTCGCCGGGCAACGTGGAGTTCATGACGCTCGGAGCTTGGGCAGCCACGCCGACGCTGGGATCGAAGCGAAACATGATGAAAGAAAAGCTCAGAGCGTACCTCGGCGAGCAGCGCTGGACACGGGTGCAAGGGAACAAGGCAGCGAGGAGGGGCAGCGCCTTCTCTCCAAGGGCAGCAGCGACTGATGCGCTCGAGCAGGAGGCTGAGAGCGATGACATCGAGAGTCGATCTGTAAGCCTCTTGTTTCTTGCGATCAGTAAATTTGCTGAGCACCATGGGTTGAGCTGCACGGGCAAGGTCGACAAGCAAGACCGGCTGCGGCTGATGATGAGGGAGGAAGTCGACATGGAGGCGGAGGAGGGCGAGGGCGTGGAGGAGGAGGCCGGTGCAGGCCCCTCGCGCGCTTGAGGCTCGAGTCAAGTCTTAGAGGTGGACAAGAGGCGGAGCGGAGCTGTGGGCCCCAAGGGGGGAAGGAGGAAGAAATAAATGAGGTGGACATGGGGCAAGCAACGAAGGTAAGGGCAGGTAAGCCGGTGGGGGAGGGGGGAGGGGGGCCGGGAGGAGGAGGCCGGGCGGAGGCCGGCCGGGCTCTAGGGCCCGGTCCGGACCGAGGCCCGGGGGAAGGGACGTGAGTCCCAGGGACCCATACGCATTCCACCTACCACCTTATCTCCTGATTGTCCTTATCCCTCATTCACTCATTGGCCGAAGGCCGGCCGAGACCGCCAAGGTGTGTCGGAGCCGAGGAAGCAACACAAGTTGAAAGCACGGACGACCCAGGCCAAGGCCGGCGGAGGAAACTCCACTGGCTGAGGCCGGGGAAGACCACTGAAGTATATCAGAGGAGGGAGCAGAGCAGAAGCACGGCTGCCATAAGGGCCAGCCAAGTCGGGCCGAACTGCCAGGTCACGAGATCCCTGTTAGACTAGAATAGAGCAAGGTGATAACAAGCCATGCAACCTACCTAGCATTCTAATAAACTCAACTACTACTACTAGGACCGGGCCCCTTCCTGGTTTAGGGTTTAGGGTTTAGGGTTTAGAGGCGCCGTTATTTTCGGCAGAGGCGCCGTTATTTTCGGCAGCATGGCTCCTCGTCAGGTGTAGGGGAAGCCGCCAGGGCGCCAAGGAAGCTGCAAGCGAGAGGTTTGTATACTTCAAATAGCTTTCTAAGTATGGTTCTTCAGTATGATGAAAATGTTCGCAACCTGCTGTATCGGAGATCATGCCAATACACGCAGAGCGGACTTGTGGATGCCTAAACCCTAAACCCTAAACGTCGAGAGGGTGAAGAGCTTCGCGAAGCGGTATCCGAACAGCAGGATAGCCTATCTACAAGAAGCGATGACTGGATGGAGTGACGCATCCAGAGAGTGGTTTTCCTCGGTGTATGTCAACCATGAAGAAAAGCTGAAGAAGAAATTTGAAGAGATCGGACTGATCGTAGACTCAGTGCAAGAGAGTAAAGCAATCATGTGGAAGGCTCCGTATAGACCCGAGATAGCGAGTGCTGAGGAGATCCCGGTGACTGTTTCCTTCCTCCGCAATGCACAAGCGGAGAAGCTCTGGCAGGGAAGAGAGGACTTCGCGATCGATGGTCGCAAGTTCACAGCTGTACATGTGAGCATCGTGCACGATCGATCTTTCAAGATTCGAGCCAAGAGAGGACCCTGGGGCAAAGGGGGCAGCTTGGCAGAGCTGACTCACCTGCTAACCTTGGGCGGCATGACAACGGCTGAGATAGCTGCCGTCTATCGCTATCAGCTGCTGCGCCAGTCCCTTGCAGCGGTCCAACTCCAGCCGCTGGCAGGCATGCTGGTCGCTGGGGCGCCAGGATAGCAAGTCCACAAAGGCTTAGGTCAGAAAGGCTTCATCGCTGTAGGGGCCAACGTCATCTGGAGACAGAGGGAGGTGAAGTGGATCGTCTCCTCGAGCTGCCCAGAGGCGAACGATACAGCATTTCGAGCTTTCCGAGAGAGCAAAGCGATGGAGGGAATACACCTGACTCTGTTCAGCGAGGACCCGAAGATCAGAGAGGCGCTCGCAGTCGAGTTGACAGCTGATCGCTTTGTGTCCAGAAATAAGTTGAAGAAGGCATCAAGGATGCAGAAGAAGGCAGGCGGCAAGGACGGCAAGGAGATCAAGATCATCATCAAGTCGACGGCGGCATCTGGTCGCTTCACGAGGAAGGAGATGGAGGGGCTGTGCAACGGCGGCAACACGTCTATCGCAAGAGTCAAGAGAGTCCTGTTGGAGATCGCTAACAGGCTCGAGATCAACGTTGAAGGCATCGACATGGAGGAGGATTTGAACACCAAGTCCTGGAACGGGTCCAAGCTATGCATCCTCCTCGGCTCCACGGAGGATGCTCGACGCATGATGAAGGAGCTGCCCTTCTATCTCGAAGGCGCAGCAACCAAGCTCGAAGCAGTCGGCTTCGACAAGGAGCCTGAGGCGGCTGGTCAGCGGGGCACCAGCGACGCAGCGCAGCGACAGGAGGAGAGCGAGGGAGAGTGGCTGGAGTTTACAGACCTGGAGAGGATCACAATGGAGGCAGCATCTCCGTCAAGCCAAGAGGACATGCAGCTCGTCAGCGAGCTGTCAGCAGTCATCGAAGATGCAGCTTCTTTGAACGAGGCAGGGACGAGCGAGCCGATCAAGCTGGTCCTGGACAAGGCCGTTGGCAACCTCCACGACACGTTCTACTCTCCGGGGAGCCTGGAGTTCATGTCGCTGGGAGAGTGGGCGAAGATGCCAGAGGAGCAGGGAGTTGGGCGCAACGTTCTCAAGGAGAAGCTGGGGAAGTGGCTGCAGAGCAAGCGCTGGACTCGCCGCGGCGCGTGCAAGGAGAGAGCAAGAAGGCAAGGAGGGGCAGCGCGTTCTCGCCACGGGCAACGGCAGCTGCTGAGCTTGAGCAGGAGGCGGAGAGCGACGACATAGAGGCTTCCTGTTCATAGCACTGAGTAAATTCGCAGAGATGCATGTGCTGGCCTGCTCGCTGAAGGTGGACAAGAAGGACCGACTGCGAGTGGAGATGAGGGAAGATGACGAAGAAGAGGAAGACATGGAGGAAGAGCAAGGCGAGGGCGAGGAAGAAGACGGGGCGAGCCCGTACCGAGCTTGAGCTGAGCTCAAGGTAAGGAGAGAAGGTAGGAGGCGACCGAAGGCCAAGGTGAGGAGAGGCAACTCTCCTGACTGAGGCTGAGGAAGCTGAATGGAGGAGTATGTGGCGACCGAAGGCCAAGGTGAGGAGAGGCAACTCTTCTGACTGAGGCTGAGGAAGCTGAATGGAGGTAGAGTAGGTGGCGACCGAAGGCCAAGGTGAGGAGAGGCAACTCTTCTGACTGAGGCTGAGGAAGCTGAATGGAGGTAGAGTAGGTGGTGACCGAAGGCCAAGGTGAGGAGAGGCAACTCTCCTGACTGAGGCTGAGGAAGCCAAGAGAAGACAGCAGAAGTAGAGAGTAGAAAGACGCCTCAGAAGCAGGGTTCGCATTGTAGGCCGTGTACTCCCAGTGCTCGAGCGCCTCTTTAGACTAGGATCAAATTGCATAAGCCCACAACGAGGCCGAGCAACATTCTAGCATTCTAATAAACTCACATAATAATAATAATAATAGGGTTTAGGGTTTAGGAGGGCGCCGTTATTTTCGGCAGCAGGGCGCCGTTATTTTCGGCAGCAGGGCGCCGTTATTTTCGGCAGCAGGGCGCCGTTATTTTCGGCAGCATGGCTCCTTGCCAGGTGTAGGGGAAGCCGTCAGGGCGCCAAGGAAGCTGCAAGCAAGAGGTTTGTATACTTCAAATAGCTTTCTAAGTATGGTTCTTCAGTATGATGAAAATGTTCGCAACCTGCTGTATCGGAGATCATGCCAATACCCATGTCTTCCTCTTCTTCGTCATCTTCCCTCATCTCCACGCGTTATCCTGGTTTAGGGTTTAGGGTTTAGGAGGCCGCCCCTTCCCGAGGCAGGCCGCCCCTTCCCGAGGCAGGCCGCCCCTTCCCGAGGCAGGCCGCCCCTTCCCGAGGCAGGCCGCCCCTTCCCGAGGCAGGCCGCCCCTTCCCGAGGCAGGCCGCCCCTTCCCGAGGCAGGCCGCCCCTTCCCGAGGCAGGCCGCCCCTTCCCGAGGCAGGCCGCCCCTTCCCGAGGCAGGCCGCCCCTTCCCGGGCCCGAGGCAGGCCGCCCCTTCCCGAGGCAGGCCGCCCCTTCCCGAGGCAGGCCCTTCCCGAGGCAGGCCGCCCCTTCCCGAGGCAGAGGCCGCCCCTTCCCGAGGCAGGCCGCCCCTTCCCGAGGCAGGCCGCCCCTTCCCGAGGCAGGCCGCCCCTTCCCGAGGCAGGCCGCCCCTTCCCGAGGCAGGCCGCCCCTTCCCGAGGCAGGTCGCCCCTTGTCGAGGTGTGGATACCCTTCGTCGAGTGCTGTCGCAGCTTCACTAGGCAGGCTGTCGCTACGAGGGGTTAGCCGCCCCATCCCGACGCCTCCTCACGGATCTTGGATCAGGCAGCCTCTTCTCGACGTGGGTCGCTGCTATCCTCTGGCTGGTGGCTCATGACCTAAGCAGGACGCAGTTTATAGAGAGCACGTCGTGCTCTTACC